TTTTTAAACGGTCGAAACACGCTTGCAGTAGATTGGGTACGAAATGGACTTTTGGTATCTCCAGCGAGAGGCAGTCATCTTGGAAAAAAATTCCCAGAATGCCCTAGGGCTGCTGGCTGGGTTAGTACTGAGTGAGCAACCTTGGTGGCGCACGCGCCTCTGGCTCCCAAACACCTGACCGACGCGGTGTTGAAAGATCACTCTCCGTCGGTGAAATTCAGACCTTATTGCTTGATGAACATAAGGGTCATGATATTGATGAAGCTAGGCATAATATGGACCTAACACAAGGGGTGGATGCTAGTGATACAGCATCTACGAAGGCGATACAGAGAGCATATCCAGTTGTAGCTCTGAGCAGCACCCTTGCCCACCTATGCCATCTCCAATTTATATAGATGATACATAGATGAATCGTTTTCTGGGTTCAGTGATGATGCATCTGATACAAGTAGCATAGGTGAACAGTGTTAGCGGCTTCCATGGTGGTGTTTTCCATAGATATTTTCAAAATAGCTGAATCTCTTCCAGAATGGCTAGATCTCTTCGAGAATGACCGATTCTCTTCCAGTCAGGGACCTTACAAAGCCATCTTTTCAAGACTACCTTTCAAACTGATCTTTTCCTATAATCTTTTCAAGACTACCTTGCACTTTTCAAGCTTGGCTACATACACCCTTGACTTTAGTACTAGTAGGTGGTATGTGAGAGAGTAATTTGCAAGCACACAGAACGAAGAAACGGGAAGTGAAAATCTATCTGTACCTGGTGCAACGAGAGCAAAGTCGCACCGAGAAACTTCGTTGATTATTACTCATTTCCGAAGTACTGAGTATGTAATACAGTGTGTTACTGTGTAAATAGTGTGAGGAACTATACATATTGTAATTTTAGTGAAATTTTAACAAATAATATTACAATTAACATATATTGAGGACACATTACTGACATGTATCACAGTTCCATGGAACATTATGAACGTTCTACTGTGTACATATTGTAAAGGACAAATATGCATCAGACACGATAAAAAAAAAACATAAAACCACCTTGGAAATACATAGAACAAATAATTGAAAATATATTTGTGGTAACTCGCGGTGCTCGAATGGCTCAAGCGACAGCCTCTGGGAGCTTCATGCACGGGCGACCAGCCCCTGATGACGTCAGAGCGCACCTTGTCCACGTCAAGGGGATGAGAGCAAATGATGAACCAGCTAGACTACCTGATTTTCACCTTAAATGGCTCAGAAATAAGGGAAGTCAAATATGAAGCCTCCATAGGAATGAGTGACCACAGTGTATTGATATTTGAGTATCTGTAGAAGTAGGGATAACCTATCCAAGGATGGGATTGGAAGGAAAAAGACTAAATTACCGAAGAGGAACTTCCTAATGGGAATAACATGGGAAACAGAACTCAGAGAAAAGACTGTACAGGATATGATGGATTATGTCACTCAAAAGTGTCAGGAGGCTGCAGACAGGTTTATCCCAGTCCAAAAAGTGAACAATGAAAAGCTACAGAAGAATCCGTGGTTCAACCAGGAATGTGCAGCAGCAAAGCAATTGAGTAAAAGAACATGGCAAAACTACAGGAACAACAGAACACCAGAGAGCAGGGAGAGATATCAGAGGGTCAGAAATGAGTACATCAGAGTGAGGAGAGAAGCAGAGAGGCAATATGAAAATGACATCGCGAGTAAAGCTAAGACCCAACCAAAACTGTTCCACAGCCACATCAGGAGGAAAACAGCAGTGAAGGAACAAGTGATGAAACAGAAAAAAGGGAAGAACAGATACACAGAATGATAAAGAGGTGTGTGAAGAACAACAAGAGATGCCAGGAGGTCTTCATAATAGAACAAAGAGAGGTCCCTGCACTAAATGAGGAGGCAAACCGAACAACTTTGGAGGAAATTTACCTCACCAGTGATGAGGTCAAAAGGAATCTGTTGGAGCTGAATGTGTCAAAGGCTGTTGGGCCCGACAGAATCTCACCGTGGATTCTAAAAGAAGGTGCAGAAGCACTAAGTATGCCACTCTCTATGGTGTATAACAGGTCACTGGAAATGGGAGACCTTCCGGAAAGCTGGAAGACAGCTAATGTAGTCTCAATTTACAAAAAGGGTGACAGGCAAGAGGCACTGAACTACAGGCCAGTTTCCCTAACTTGTATACCATGCAGGGTGATGGAGAAGATTGTGAGGAAAAGGCTCGTAGAGCATCTGGAGGGAAGCAGCTTTGTAACACACCACCAGCATGGGTTCAGAGATGGTAAATCGTGCCTCACAGGCCTAATAGAATTCTATGACCAAGCAACACAAATTAGGCAGGAAAGGGAAGGGTGGGCAGACTGCATTTTCTTGGACTGTCAGAAAGCCCTTGACACAGTACCTCACAAAAGGCTGTTACAAAAGTTGGAGCAGCAGGCAGGAGTAAAAGGTAAGGTGCTCCAGTGGATAAGGGAGTATCCAAGCAATAGGAAACAGCGAGTAACGGTGAGGGGGGGAAGGCATCAGAGTGGCGAGATGTCACCAGCGGAGTCCCACAGGGCTCTGTACTCGGACCCATCCTGTTTCTAGTATATGTAAACGACCTTCCAGAGGATATAAACTCATTCCTCTCAATGTTTGCTGACTATGCAAAAATTATGAGAAGAATCAAAACAGATGAAGATAGACAGAGACTACAGGACGACCTGGATAAACTAGAGGAATGGTCCAGAAAATGGCTGCTAAAGTTCAACTCAGGAAAGTGTAAAGTAATGAAATTAGGTGAAGGGAGCAGAAGGCTGAACACAAGGTACCATCTGGGAGGTGAAATCCTACAAGATTCAAATAGAGAGAAAGATCTGGGGGTCGATATCACACCGAATCTGTCCCCAGAGGCCCACATCAAAAGGATATCATCAGCGGCATATGCTAGACTGGCCAATATAAGAACTACCTTTAGAAACTTGTGTAAGGAATCGTTCAGCACCCTGTATACCACTTATGTAAGACTAATCCTGGAGTATGCAGCTCCAGCCTGGAGTCCATACCTAATTAAACACAAGACGAAGTTAGAGAAGATTCAGAGGTATGCCACCAGACTGGTCCCGGAACCGAGAGGAATGAGTTACGCGGTAAGGCTAAGGGAGCTGAACCTCACAACCCTGGAAAACAGAAGAGTAAGGGGAGACATGATAACCCCCTACAAAATTCTCAGGGGGAATTGACAGGGTGGACAAAGACAAACTCTTTAGCGCGGGTGGAACAAGAACAAGGGGACACAGGTGGAAACTTAGTACCCAGATGAGCCACAGAGACGTTAGAAAGAATTTTTTCAGTGTCAGGGTAGTTAACAAATGGAATGCATTAAGTAGTGTTGTGTTGTGTTGTGTTGGAGGCTGACTCCATACACAGTTTCAAATGTAGATATGATAAAGCCCAATAGGCTCAGGAATCTGTACACCAGTTGATTGACAGTTGAGAGGCGGGATCAAAGAGCCAAAGCTCAACCCCCGCAAACACAACTAGGCGAGTACTCTGGAACAAGGAAGAAGGGAAACCGGCACAACCCAAAGTGTGACCCCGGTCACAACAGCCGTGGCACGCAAAGAACGGCGAAGCGCCGCAACCGAACACAACACAAGATGCACCCCCGGGCTGATCAACCAAGCAACAACAACCTAAGGACTTCTCCGGAAAGCAGCCGTGTCAGTCTTTGCCAGAAAAGGAGACGACTGCAAGCGAACAAACCTATCACGAGCAGAAGAAAAGCAGAAACCCCTGTACCGGAAGGCATGAAGCTCCCCGACCCGACCCCCAGAGGCCAATGCCGACAAAAAAAAAAAAAAAAAAAAAAAAAAAAAAAAAAAAAAAAAAAAAAAAAAAAAAAAAAAAAAAAAAAAAAGGCCTCAGAAAACAATTCAGAACCGAATGGGCCACAACAATCCGAGGAGAAGAAAAGAGAGCACCCAATCCAAGGACCAGGACGGCAGGATTGGGAGGAGCAGACTCGAATGCCTCCGTCGCCAACCCTGATGGGGTAACCCTTGACGCTGCCCGAGACTCACTACCATCTAAACCCTGCCCCGACTCTGAAACAACTTCGACATTTGGGAGCCGGAAGCAGATGGGGAGCAGGATGAACAACACCAACCAGGGAAAGACTAGGGAGCACAGACAAAACCAAAGTCGAAGCGACTAACGCCCCAAAGTCTTGAAATCATCAACAGGTAGCAAACAGGCAGGTATACGAAAGGAACACTGTAAACCTAAAAGAAAAGTGAGAACATGATCCAGAGGTCAAGCGGGCTCAAGGGAGTATGATCAGGCCAGAGGTGAAACTGTGTGAGACGGCTTACAAAATGGTGCCGAGGACTATCAACATCAAATACAAACAGCAGTGGCTCCACCAGCACCAAACGATAAGATGTAACAGTATTCGGTAAGAGGTGCCAATCAAGAAATGATCAGGGAAAAAGAAAAAAAAAACAGCTCAGAAATCGAAGAGCAATGACAAAGATAAGTGGTGAAGAGAGGGGTAAGAAGCCGAGAAGACAACTGCAGGTGGCAAACAATCATAGTAGCCACCTGTCGCCATAGAAATGATACACATTTAAAAAATACCAGGTGTGAATGCCAAGAAGGTTGAACCAGTGAGATAAATCACTGGGCCATTCTTTTGAAAGAAGTGGGGCTGCAGAAAAAAAACCCAGCTTCAGTTATTGAGCAAGCAGTGCCTGAAACCACGACCGAGTCAGCCACCAAAGAGTCAGAAGGACAACCTTCCATGGAAGGACTCCAACCTGGCCAGGACTCGGAACAACATTTAGAGGGAAACAGGTACAGAAACCCCAACTGCGACCAGTCCAACCAAAAGGCATTCACCACGAGGGCCTTGTGATCAAGGTATGAAGCGATGCAAAGATGATGATGCCAATGCCAAGGTGATGCAAAAAGATCCATGTCTGAGCACCTGAACGTCCCACAGATATATGAATGAGAACTCACCAGGCCCTCTTGATTGACCATGATGTTGTCTGGGTGGCGGTCACCGATGCCGAGCACGAAGGTAGCCACACAGTAGCCAGCACAGGACCGAGTAAAGTTGTCTATTGCTTGCTCCAACCTGTGTAACAAATATGAGAATCCAGTATTAGATGCAAGACAAATTTTTTCATTCAACTTTTTGAATGTATAGTAGTCTAATCTTTAATCCAAGCAAGAATTCATTACTTGTTATTCCCTAGACTCATCAAGGTAACCAGTTCCCTCAATTTACCAGTACAGGAAACTGTGGTTATATAAACAACATAAATGCATAGAGTCACAATAAAGTGGCTGAAAATAAATAACCCAACTTGAAGATAAATGGTAAAAACAGGTTTAGATTTTAAGGGACCTCTAAAAGTTAAATTTTTCTCACATTTTAGAACAAGACATTTATTTATTTATTTACTTATTTATTTATTTATATACAAGAAGGTACATAGGATTTATGAGATTACATAGCATTGATGTTTTTACATTCTTGTAAAGCCACTAACACGCATAGCATTTCGGGCAGGTCCTTACTCTAAGAGAATTTTAAGTAGGTAATTTCTAGCAAAATTTAAAAAACGTTAACAGGTACATCGTAAGAAAATTTGATGAAGATTAGTTGGTACATTATAGTAAATTTTGAGGATTATCAACAGGAATATTGTAGTATAATTTGAGGATTATTTCAAGGTATAATGCAGTAAAATATGTACAGTGGTACCTAGCATAACGATCGCCCCAAAAGGCGAACATTTTGAGTTACGAACGGCCCGATCGGCGTCAAATCGTCCTGTATGGCGAACGCTGGTTTGAGTAACGTCAACACCACATGGTGGGGTCGCGCTGCTTCTTGCACATTCTCAGACGCCTCCGACGATGCACATAAATTATGTTGTTTTTGTTTAACCCTTAACATGCTTGGGGTTTAATATCCGGTCATCCCCACAGGCGCATGTCAGTTTGAAAAAAAAAAAAAAAAAAAAATTCTTCCTAACCTGTTAATGTGTGTTCACTGATCACAGGAAAAATAATAAAAAAATCGTAAGTGGCATATATTGCCCGCTATAGGGCGGGGAAGTCTGGCAAATTATAGGCGCTGACTCAGCGTGCGTCCCAGGCGGTCCGTTGCTCGCCAGCTGTCAGGCCGGAGTTGCCACAAAGATAATTACCTAATTATTTCAATGTCTCTGATTTTTCATAGTTTTTTTGCTGTAATATTATTCAATAGTGTGTAGTTTGATATATTTATATAATAAAATGAGTGAATCATTGCTGTACTCAAAAATATGGTGTGCATATTGTTGATTCAATTATGTTCATCAATCAGTGAACAAATGCTTTGTCGGTTAATACACTATAAGCACAGGTTATATATAAGTATCTGCATGTTTTGTTCACTATAACGAGCCACTAAGTAGCTATTATGAGTCAAAAAGTAACGAGGAGTGACCGCAGTGTACAAGCCAGCCACTCCCGCCCTCCCTCCAGTCATCTGACTCACCTACATTCTCCTACCACAATAATGTTTTTGCTATAATTCACTATATACAGACATTATATATAAGTATCTACATGTTTTGTTCACTATAACTGTACATCTAAGCTTGTATGGTGAGTAAAGGCACACAGACGTAGGACCTCACACAGTCAGCTGATGGCTGCCGCCCTCAAGGCCAGACGCACTAATATTTCTCCTACAACAATACTGTGTGGTGTTATTACGCTATATACACACATTATATATAAATATCTACCTGTTTTATTCACCATACTTGTACAAATAAACTGGTATGGTGCCCAAAGACCATCGTGGTAACCAGTAAACAACACCGTCGTCTGCACGGTGGCGTCGTGCAGACGACGCCACCGCCCTCACCAAAATGGCGGCTCCAAACCTTCTCTTGCCGTTTATACCCTCTATACACACGTTATATATAAGTATCTACATTTGTGTTCACCATAGCGAACCACTAAGCTGGTATGCTGAGTGCAGTCAATAAAAGGTGGCCACACACAGTCAGAAGACATCGCCACCATCCTCCCTGCCACAGCATTACTCCTCCCTCCATGGCGCACAGCGCTAAATATCACCACAATCCTGCTATTATCAGAACCCTAGTCAGTTTTATCACAGTCAGGGGTCTTCTGTAATAATATTGCTACATAATAGCATAAACAAGTATATTTTGGCATTTTTAGGCGATGCTGTGGCCACAAGCTGAACAGCAGTGCTGTTAGCTCATGCTGCGTGCGTCAGGCTTGGTTGCTCACTCAATACTGAGGCCAATAACACTCGGGAGTTTGGCCCACGATTTTTAAAAAAAATGGCGTCTGTTTACAAGAGCCCTGATGAAGGTGTATCCGCGGGCCGTTTAAATCTTGCGTAGTACTCCAACACGTCATATGACGTGATGCGCACTTTAAGGGTTAAAGATGCTAATGATGCTGGGATATAAAAGGGGTGACTGTTGAGATGTTGCAAAGCATTGACATTTTTGTAGAGAAAAAAAAAAAAAAAAAAATTCTGATATACAGCAAATGTCAAAAAAAGGTTCGTTCGGTGTTCGGCAGGTAGGCTGCTCCATTATAACAATCTTTCTTTGTTTCAAATGTGTTCCATTTGTTTTTTATTTGTCATTTACGTCTCAATAATGGAGAAGCCTACCTTACATACACTGAATAAACCATTATGACATTTTCCTTTCTTCAAATGTGTTCAATATTTATTTTTCATTTGTCTTATAGCAAAAGGTTCGTTCAGTGGTCGGCAGGTAGGCTGCTCCATGTTTCTTACATAAAAAATGTAAATAATAATAAAAAATGAAGAATTTGAAAACCAGAACAAATGTCAAAAAGGTTCGTTTGGTGGTCTACAGGTAGGCTGCTCCATGTTTCATGAATAAAAAAAAAAAAAAATAAAAAATAAAGAATTTGAAAAAATGGACAAATGCCATAAAGGTTCGTTCAGTGTTCGTTGGGTAGGCTGCTCCATTATCGAGACATAAGTGACAAATACAAAATAAATGAACACATTTGAAACAAAGAAAGATTGTCATAATGGAGCAGCCTACCCGACAAACACTGAACGAACTTTTTCCTATAACGAATATGAAAGACAAGGGCTGCTGGCTGGGTTAGTAGTGTGTGAGCAACCATTTGTGGCACACGTGCCTCTGGCTCCCAAACACCTGTCCGACACAGTGTTGAAAGACTGTGCTCAGTCGGTGAAATTCAGACCTTATTGTTTGAAGAACATAAGGGTCATAATATTGGTGAAGCTAGGGGCAATAAGGACTTAACACAATGGTCGGATGCAAGTGATACAGCACCTATGAGGATGATACAGCAAGCATATCCAGTTGTAGCTCTGAGCCCCACCCTTGCCATCTCCAATTTATATAGATGATACATAGATGAATCGTTTTCTGCATTCAGTGATGATGCATCTGATACAAGTAGCATAGATGAACAGTGTTAGCGGCTTCCATGGTGGTGTTTTCCATAGATATTTTCAAGAATACCTGAATCTCTTCCTGACTGACCTACACTCTTTGAGGCTAGCTGAATCTTTTCCTGTGTGGGACCTTACAAAGCGATCTTTTCAAAACTACCTTACAATTTGATCTTTTCCAATAATCGTTTCAATACTATCTTATGCTTTACAAGCTTGGCTACATACCACCTACAAGTACAGTACTAAAGCCAAGGGTGCACGCGTGTGTGTTATTTGCAAGCACACAGAACGATGAAACAGGAAGCGAAAATCTATCTGTAGCTGGTGCAAGGAGAGCACAGTCGCGCTGTGTACCATGGACTACTTTGTTGACTATTACGCACCTCCAAAGTACTGAGTGTGTAATACAGTGTGTTACTGTGTAAATAGTATGTGAAACTGTACATATTGTAATTTTAGTGAATTTTTACCACGTAATATTGTGACAATAAATATTTATTGTGGACACATTACTGACACATGTATCACAGTTCCATGGAAAATTATGAACATTCTACTGTATACATATTGTAAAGGTCACAAATATGCATCATATACGATAAAATAAACAAATAAAACCGCATTGGAAAAAGATAGAAAAAATATTTGAAAATATATTTGTGGCAACACCCGGTGCTTGAATGGCCTGCGTGACCGTGTCTGGGAGCTTCACACACGGGCGACCAGGCCCTGATGACATCACAGCACACCTTGTCCATGTCCTCACAGCCAAAGTAAGTGGAATTTGGTAATTATTTTTACATAGACATGTTCAGGGAAGGTAATTTATCATTAAAAAAAAAAATGATTTTATGGGAACATTTGATGTCATGTACACTGGGGGAGTTTCACAATAAACACAGTGCATCACAGTGGTTACATGGGGACATTTGTATGACGTCCGTTTCACATGACGAACACGGAACGGATTAAATTCTTTATTCGAGGTACCACTGTACAGTACTCAATAAAACAATCATGATATAAGATGATAGGAATGATTACAATGGTGAGGTTGTATTGCTTGGGTACATATATTGGGGGATAAGGGAGCACTAGATATACTACGAGTTTAAAGCACTAGGTAGGAAACTATGAGGATGAAATTAGGTACTTCTTGGTTATATTTTTTAATAAATCAAATGTTGGACAGCTTTTCAATTCATTAGGAAGTAAGTTCTATAGATCAGGTCCCTTTATTTGCAGTGTGTTTACAGAGATTAAGTTTTACTCTGGGGATATCAGAGAGATTTATTTCTGGTGTGATGATTATGGGTTCTATTACATCTGTCCAGGTTGAGATTCAGAGCAAGGTTTGCATTTAAGAAAAGGGTTTTGTACGTGTAAATGGCACAAGAGTGTGTGGATTGAGTTTATATTTAGCATGTTTAGGGATTTACACATGGCGGAGGGGGGGCGCCCCCCCCCCCCCCGAGTGCTGTCTGAAAGCCGAGTTTGTAATTGTTCTGATAGCAGATTTTTGCTGGGTGATGATGGGCTTGAGGTAGTTTGCAGTGGTTGAGAACCATACACAGATACCATATGTAAAATAGATAGATAAGCATGTAGTATAGTGAGAGGAGAGCAGAGTTTGG